TCCTCCCACCGTAGCTCCTCCCAACTTGCAGGGAAAATATGCCACTACAGGAAATTATATTAATTATGGTTTTGAGTTCTCTACTGGTATTTGTTATGGGATATTGTTAGCCAAAACTTTTAAAAATGTATCTACATGTATCTATGATGAGCTACATAGCAAGAGCCTATCTTTTTTTTTCTTTTTCTTTTCTTTTTTTTCTTGAGACAGGGTTTCTCTCTGTAGTCCTGGCTGTCCTGGAACTCACTCTGTAGACCAGGCTGGCCTCCAACTCAGAAATCTGCTTGCCTCTACTTCCCAAGTGCTGAGATTAAAGGTGTGAGCCACCACTGCCCGGTGAGCAAGAGCCTATCTCAATCCCTCTTCTAAATAAGGTTGAACTATTTCACTTTATAAAGAATTTTTAAAATAGATATTTTTGGCTAAGGATGTAGCTCAGTTGGTAGAATGCAATAAAGAAAGTTACTGGAAACCAAAGAAGATTTTAAAAAATCTCAGCTGGGTATAAAAAAAACTCAGTTGGGTATAAAAAAATCTCAGCTGGTTGTGGCAATTCACACTTTTAATCCCAACACTGGAAATGTAGAGGCAGATGAATCTCTGTGAGTTTGAGGCCAGTTAGGTCTACATAGTGAGCTCCTGGACAGCTGAGGCTATGTAGAGAGATGATCCTATTTCAAAACAAACAAATAACAAAACCTCCCAAGAATTCAGAGCCTTCTGAGATTCTGTAAATGGGTTTTTGGTCAAAAATCTATACTGAGAACCAAGATGTCTCAAGTGGATAAGTACAAACAGGAACAGCTCCAGGCTTGGCACAAAGTCTTCCTCAGGGATATCCATCTTAGCTCAAGCATGCACACTCAGGAACAGAGCATTGCAAGGGAGGAGCAGCAGCAAGATCAGGGTCAGAAATAGAGTCACAAGGGTTGTAGAAATGGCTCAGGGTTTAAGGGTACTTGTTCTTCCAGCTGACCCAGGTTCAGTTCCCAACATGGTAACTCACAACCTAGTTCCGGGAGACTCAATGCCCTCTAGTGGCCTCTGTGGGCACTCGGCCCCCAAAATGCAAAATCTCAAAAAATATATATTTTTAGGAAGGTTGGGGGGAGAGGGGGTGGAAATGGAGTCACAGCTAGGCACAGTGCTGCATGATTGCAATCCCAATCCAGCAGCAGGAGGCTCACCCTAAGTTTGAGTCTGAGGCTAATCTGGTTTATGAAGAAATTTCCTGGCAAGATGCATTTGTACAACTGTTCAAAGTGGCTGTCTTCAGGCGAGAGAAGTCATGCATGGCAGAAATAGCCCTAGCCAACTCCCTGTGTGTTTCCTATGGCTTAAACTTGTTTGAAGTCTGATCAGAGTTGGGTGACTATTTACAGGATGTTCCCTTTAGGCCAAGACAATTCAAAGGAATTGCAGTGTACTTGAAATTGCAGTGTACTTTTATTCACATTTAAAAAGTCATTTTAGCCGGGCGGTGGTGGCGCACGCCTTTAATCCCAGCACTTGGGAGGCAGAGGCAGGCGGATTTCTGATTTCGAGGCCAGCCTGGTCTACAGAGTGAGTTCCAGGACAGAGAAACCCTGTCTCGAAAAACCAAAACCAAAAAAAAATAGATAAATAAAAATAAAAATAAAGTTTGCCGGGCGGTGGTGGCACACGCCTTTAATCCCAGCACTTGGGAGGCAGAAGCAGGCAGATTTATGAGTTCGAGGCCAGCCTGGTCTACAGGGTGAGTTCCAGGACAGCCAGGACTACAGAGAGAAACCCTGTCTCGAAAAAACAAAAAACAAAAAGTCTTTTTAGTTTCTCTCTCTCTCTCTCTCTCTCTCTGTGTGTGTGTGTGTGTGTGTGTGACAGTGCTTGTGTAGAGGTCAGAGGGCAACTTGTGTTACCTGGTGCTTGCTATCCACCATTTGAATCCTGGGTATTGAGCTCGGGTTGTCAGGTTATATTTCCACAGGACAGAACTCAGGCAGCTCCAGTCTTTTGGGAAATTGTTTTGGGTCAAAGGGCACAATCTTTCCTTCATCATGTTCCCTTCTTGGCGTCAACCTAGCCCCACCTACCAAGGATTCAAGGTCCTGACTCACTTTTTACATTCAGGAAAGTTCTGAAAGGCGAAGCCCATGGCAGAGCCCTTGAATGATGAGCATGTGATGGCGTTGTGTGCTGGGGAGAGGCTCCGCCCACATTCTGTGTGGCTCCTCCCACACCCTGCCATGGCTCCTCCCACATCCTGCCATCCTCCCTTCTCACAGTGCTGTTCCCGAGAACCAACCCCTGCTACCTCTCAGCATGCCAGTTTCTATCTCAGAAATCCAACTGAAGATGCTGTCCTCTCTCTTCCCCTCTGTGGTGACCTCGGAGGACACCTGTTCCAGATGGTGCAGCTTAGGAGTGACTGCTGTGTAATCTGAAGTGAAAACAGTCTTTGACACTTAGAGTCACTAAGGTATCTGGGTTAACTTGCCTGAGACAGGGTGTCACATAGCCCAGTCTGACCTCAGATCCACTATGCATACATACAGCCAGAGATGGCCATGAACTTCTGATCATCCTGCTTCTAGTTCATGAGTGCTGAGATTACAGGCAAGCGACTGTGACTTGAACCTGGGACATTTTGCATTTTAGATAAATACTTTTATCGATTGAGCTACATTCCCAGCCAATCCCAGGTAGCTTTAAACCTCTGCTTGTCTCCTCTCTTGTGCCTAGTACGGCTAGCTGTTCATAGTAAAACAGTTGAAATGAGCTAGGTGGAGGTGGTGCATGCCTCAAATTCTAACGCTCCAGAGGCAGGCAGATTTCTGAGTTCAAAGCTAGCCTGGTCTACAAATCGAGTTCTAGGACAGCCAGGGCTACACAGAGAAACCCTGTCTCAAAAACAAAACAAAGCAAAAAACAAGGGCTGAAGTGATCTCTAAACTAGTAGATGCCGAACATGTCAAGAAGCAGAAGAGTAAAAGAAAGTGAGAATGTGCCTCTTCATCCCAGATGACGGGAATGGAAGGTAGAAGCAGAGGGAACAGACACATTAACACAGGACAGCCGAGACAAACGCAGAGCTCTCTACAGCACCCCACCAGACACATTAGCAGAGCAAATGGAGAAGGGAAAAGGCACGAGGCGCCAAGCTAAAGCTCCAACTCTGAGCTGTTTACACAAGGCACAGTTAAAACATAACGACAGGAAGGGTTGAAAGGCGAAGGAAGAGAAGAGACTCAAAGGATAAGAAACGTGGTGGGCCTGGACTGCATCACCAGGGGGACCGCAGACAAAGGGCTCTGTGAAGACACCACTGAACTAACTTCTCTATGAGGCATTTCCATTTTGATTACATCTATTTAGTGTGTGTGTGTGTGTGTGTGTGTGTGTGTGTGTGTGTGTGTGTGTATGCATGCATAAGTGTGCACGTACATGTGTGTGGAAGCCAGAGGACAATCGCCATTGGGGTTCTTCCTCAAATGCCATCTATCTTGATTCCTGAGTCCCTTGACCTGGGGCTTGCAGACAAGGTTAGGGTGACTGGCCAGTGATCCCCAGGGATCCATTCCTGTGTCATCCTAGTGCTGGCTTTACAAGCACTCATCAGCTTCTTACTTGAGTTCTGAGATTTGAACTCAGGTCCACAGGTTTTTACGGCAAGCCCCTGAGCACCAGTTATTCCCCCATCTTCTGAAACTCATCTTAACAGTCTCTTCCCTGATCCTTTCCTCCCCTGTGACAGAAGTGACCCATCTCTCCTCTGAGCTGCTTTACAAAGTACTCGTGCGTATTTGAAGTACTGTGAGCTTCAGAGGAGCCTAGTAAGGACAGAATTGCCCACATGTCTTCTCTGAATCCTGTAGAGAAACGCCTTGCACACAGGAAGAAGTCAATAAAAATGTCATGAATGAATAAATCCAAGACTCACACTGTGTTCCCACTAGTCACACCCACTGATGTGTGGGCAGAGAGGGGAGCAGACGGCCCTGTGACACCAGAGGCAGGGCCCTGCTAAAAGGGCCATAGATGGTGGCTTTCTTTAGAACTTCCTGCTTTCCTCATCTTGCCCACAACAGCTCTGCGCTGCCCATGATTCTGCCCAGTAACATCTCCCTGGCATCACCTGGCTCTAGAGCTTCAGCTCAGAGCCTGGCAGGTCTCTCTACTCAATGTCCCACTTGTGATATTGAGCTTGGTTTGAGACTGTAAGACATCACTGTGTGACCATCAGCCGAGCAGAAAGGGGCTCTCATCTTTACAGGAAACATCCCACCACAAAACAGCAATCGACTCTCAGTCCTGGAGGAGGGAAACTGGACCTAGAGACAAGGGTACAGCCTTGTGCTTTCTCTACAAGGCAAGATAGAAGTACACCAGTTTGGCACAGCACACAACCAAAAGGTTAGGGCTTATAGAGGCAGGGTGTCTGTGCATGCTGTGTGTGTCAGGAAGGCTCTATGGAAAGGAGACAAGAGCCACTCACCAAGCGCTTCTCCATTGCCCAACCCTAGGTCTGGCCTAGCCCTCCTGCAAGAGTGGAGGCTAGAGCTGGGTATGGTGGTATAGCCTGCAATCCCTGCACGTGGGAGGCTGAGGCAGGAGGACTGTGTGTTTGAGGCTAGATTGTCTCAAATAAAACAGAGGCGTGAGGAGTAAGGGACAGAGAGAACATGCGTGCAGAGGCTTGCTAAAATGACTGCTTCCTGGCCTACTTTGGATCACCACAGGAGGCCCCTAGCCAGCCTTTCCCCATCCTGCAGCTGTTACCACTTCCCCTGGCTATCCCAAATCTGTTCTCTCTAGTGACTTTGTTTCCTGATGCAGCATTCCACTGAAGGACTACACTTTGGCAGCCTGGTACATGGGTGGGGTAAGGGGTGCTGGTTTCTGCAGGAGGTTCAGAGAGGTGCCTTGAAGAGAAGGGGCCTGTGAAAGCATCCTGAAGCCCATATTGCTGGGGCTGACCCACTGCAGACCCTGGAACTCAACCATGAAGTGATAGCACTCACCTGGGGCACCTGGTCTATTCGGAACAGCCTGGGGAGCTTCAGGCTCAGCATCTTGACACCAGGCTGGGGAAGGCAGTTGAGGTCACTTCCTGCCTCTCAGCAGGTCCCACTCAGAGTTCTTACATACCAGTGATATCAAGGTAGCTTCCTTGAAAGAGGACAAGCAAGAAAAAATCAGGTCAGACTCCACCTAACTTCAACTGGATATGGTTTCTGGTGCTTCAACTATTGGACGTTTTTAGAATGAGAGCAAAAACAAACAAAACCAAGATTCCTAAGATTTCCCACGGGGAATGTAGCTTGGTTTGTAGAGTGCTTGCCTGACACGGACAATGCCCTGGGTTCAAGCTACAGCACTGCATAAAGACTGGCTTGCTGGCACATGCCACTAATCCTGAGGAGACAGAGGCAGGGGAATCAAGAGTTCAAGGTTATCCTTAACTCCTGGCCAGCCTGGGCTACTTGAGTCCCTGTCTTTTCTTGGAGGGGAAGGAGGTGTTTTGAGACAAGATTTCTGTGTAACAGCTCTAGTTGTCCTGGAACTGGCTTTTGTAGACTAGGCTGGCTTTGAACTCACAGAGATCTGCCTGCCTCTGTCTCCTGAGTGCTGAGATCAAAGGGCTATGCAAGGATTTCTTAACAGCAGTGATTCAGACTACATCATCCCTCACTCTGAGGATGGCAGCTGGTAGGCGGTTAGATGGTCACATGGCTGATTACTACACTATGAAGGTTTTGACCTTCAAAATCTATATGCTAGAATTAATCCCTAGTGGGGCATGAAGTAGGGCCTTTGGAGAGTAATGAGGTCATGAGGGTCCCACTCTTATGAATGAGATTAGGACCCTTTTCATAAAAGGGGCCTGAGGAGCTTTCTTGACACCAGGCCTGGGGGTTGGGGACAAGGAGAAGGAGCCTTTTGTGAATAGTCTCGGTATAGACTGCTTAGCCCCTAGAACTGGAAGCAATACATTTTTATTGTTTATAAACTACCTGATCTATGGGATTTATTGTAGCAGAATGGACGGAGACTGCGATAGGAAACTGTAGCTCTGTGAAGGACCCTGAGACCACCTACTCCCCTCCGAGGAGCGAGCTGTAGATGACTTTCCCCAGAGTTGCTGAACTGGGAACTGCGTACTCTACTCCACCAAAGGCCAGTCTGAGGGAGGGAGACGTCTCAAGCCCTGTGCCACCCTAGGTGACATAAGTAGACAATGGGGGTGGGTGTTGTGAGACTAAGTTTGCCTGCAAGCCCAAGTTTTATCCCTAGCAAGAGAAGAAAACAAAAACAAAAACAAACAAACAAACAAAGGTTTTCCTCTAGTCTTGTACCGCAGAATCTATGAACTTACACATACACTTGCAAAAAGACACACATACACAATTAATAAAACATTTAAAGGGGGCAAGGAACTATGTTCTAGTTCAAGGAAGAACTGGCTCTTCCAGGGGGCTGACCACACGCTCTGTCACACACACACACACACACACACACACACACACACACACACAAAACAGGCCAGGCAAAAAGCCAAGAAGCTTCTTGGAGGCAGAGAAACTTGGAGTAAACAATAAATTTGATCAAACACAGGATTAAGACTGTTTAGCAACTGTAAACAACGTGAACTACAGCCATTAAAGTTCTCAGACGGCCCAAGGAACAGGAAAACACTGCTTTAGCGCAAAAAGGACAAAGCTAGGGATTGAACACAGTGTGGGCCATGCTGTCACCCCTGGACCTGAGCCTCCTTACAGCCTTCCTTATGTCCCCAGGAACAGAGGGGAATCTTCCCTGCCTCTGAGGGCCTGGGGACCTTTCCTAAGCTTCCTGGATCACCAGTCACATTCCTCCTGGGACCTTTGTGGCTGACTGAACACTCACATCTCTCTGTCTCCCTCCTTCCCTCCCTCCCCCCACTCTGTGTGTGTGTGTGTGGAGAGAGAGAGAGAGAGAGAGAGAGAGAGAGAGAGAGAGAGAGAACAATAAATGAAAAAAGGGCAATTGGGTAAGAATGTGACAACCTTTGACCTAGAAAACGCACGTGCACACACACATAAGACAACTGGCTCTAACTAAAGGGAACACATCCTAGCGCAAAGCACCAAGACCACATTTCTCCTGAGCATCGGGAGATGACGGACATGTGTGTTTGGGATGTGTGTGGTCTGGATGGCAAGTAGCCACTCCTGCCGAGTCAGCAAGCTGAGGCCAAATCTCAGATAAGACAGAACTTGACAGACCTGTTTGAAAAGTGCGAGGCTTCTGCTGGTCTATTCTTACAACATTCAAAGTCCCGAAGCCTCTCTTAAGACTCACATCTAAATTGTCCATCTTTATGTTTGCCAACAATTGCAAAAGACCAGTGGCTGATGGTGGGAAGTCACGGCACACGGCCGATCTTAAGCTTTACAGACATCACTGAGCCTGGAATTAACTCCCTGATCCTTTTAACTCTACCTGCTGGGAAACAGGCTCTTCATTTCACAGACCCTAGAAAAAACAGATTGCTATTTGCAGCATCGCCAACATTGCAAGCTTGGGTTGCTGTGCCAAGAGACAAGCTTGTTCAACTTTTAATTCCGCTGCTGTGATAGAAACACTCTGATAAAAAAGGCAACTTAGGGGCAAAGGGTTTATTTTAGCTAAAATTCCCAGCCCATCACTGCGAGGAAGACAGTGGCAGGAGTGTGAGAGAGCTGGTCACATTGTATCCACAGTCAGCAATAGAGAAATGAATGCGTGCTCACTTTCTTCACTAGTAGGCAGTTTAGGAACCCAAGCCTAGGGAATGGTGTCATCCACAGTGGCTTGATTTTCCTACATCAATTAATTTTATATAATTTTACATAAACATGCTGAAAGACCAACCCAATGTAAACAATCCTTCATTAGGACTCTCAAGTTGTATCAAGTTGACAATTAGTTAACTATCACAGTTTTTAAGATAAAATCCAAACATATCAGAAAGATACAACTTATTCATGTTTCATGTAAGACTTTCTGGAGTTTTCATGGTTTTATAGCAGAAGGGCTGGAGATGTTTCTCAGTTGGTAGAGTGCTTGCTTAGCACACACAAAGCTCTGGGCTTGATCCTGAGCAGAACATAAAACGTGTGTTAGTACGTGTAGTTAGTACATACTTGTAACCTCAGCACTCAGGAGGCTGAGGCAGAAAGATAGTTCAAGGTCATGCTTGGCTACACAAAGAGTTCCAGGACAGCCTGGGATACAAGAGACACTATCTCAAGAAGTGAGTGAGCATTGTAAAATAGCCACAGGACTTGCTGGAGTTGTTCTGAAATAGCCTTAAAAAAATTTATGAGAATAAAATCATAGCCAGGAGGCTTCGTGTTAGGACTCAAATTCAAGGGCATCTAAAACTTAATAAGAAGTCAAACTGAATCTGGGGACTTCATTCACCTCATGACGGGTATTCTGCTCTTGCTGGTCCCACCCCTAAAAGACAAGCTTCAGTTGGAATACCCCATACCTTAAAGGTTATAGCTGAAGACTTTATAACTTACCCTGGTGGCTAGGTTTATGTCAGCTTGACACAAGCTAGAGTTATTTTGGAAGATGGAAACTAAATTGAGAAAATGCCCCCACCAGACTGGCCTGTGGGCAAACCTGTGGTGCATTTTTTTCTTCTAACTGATGATAAGGGGGCGCCAGCTCACTGTGGGAAGTGTCATCCCTGGACTGGTAGTTCTTGGAGCTATAAGAAAACAGGCTGAGCAAGCCATGGAGAACAAACAAACAGTGCCTGCCCACGGCCTGTGCACGGGCTCCTGCCTCCAGGTTCCCACCCTGTGTGAGTCCTGTCCTGACAGACTTGGATGATGGACTTTGAGTTGTAAGATGAAATTAATCCTTCCCTCCCCTGATTGCTTTTGGTCACGGTGCTGAAGAAGAACAACAGCAGCAGCAGCAAAAACAACAACAACAACAACAACAACAGCAAAACCTAAGATACCTGCTAAATGCTGTCATATAAGTTGGCCCAAAAGAAGCTGGTGAGTTGTTTTCCCAATGAACAGGTTCCAGAGATTTAATAAATTTTAGTACTATGAATGAACCAACAATTAGTCACATTATTAGCACAGATTTATTAATTTGGTCAAGCTCACATAGAATCTCAACTCTAACACAGTAGTTAAGAGTCTTTCCTCATATTGCATAGAAGTTAAATATCTTGAAGTCTTTGTCTATCTCTATCCAAAACAACCTCTTCCTTTATGAATACTGTTACTTTGTTGAGTTGCCTCATACAATTTGTCTAATGAATAATGTTTCATCCTTCATCCATGATATTAGCAGTTTTTAACCTGTGGGTCTTGACCCTTTGCAGGGGGGGTGTTACATATCGGATACCCTGCATGACAGATATTTATATTATAATCCATAGTGGCAGCAAAATTACAGTTATGAAGTAGCAGCGAAATAGTTTTATGGTTGGGGGTCACCACAACGTAAAGAATTATATTAAAGGGTCCCAGCATTAGGAAGGTCAAGAACCACTGCATTATACAGAGGCTCAGAAAACGGCATCTCAAAATACAACCCATCGAGCTGAACAGTTTAAACTGCAGGAGACTAGAAGGGCCCGGAAACAGGGCTCTCGAACCTTCTCCTGCCCTGCTCTCTGTCACCTCTCTCTCTCCTAAAGCAAGTTGTAATGCTCAGAAAATTCATGGTCTCATGCTTCTTTGTAGATCCTGTCTCCAGAGGCCCTGGCCCACATCAAAAAAGAGAGCACATTTCAAAGAGAGACAAAAAGATTTTAAGCAGACAGGCCTGCCCGGGGTTCCCACTGAGGGTTCATTTACATTAGGCAATGTGTCCAATCATACATTTCAAATGCTGCCCATTCTGCACAGAACTTGAGCATGAACATTGTTTTCAATGGGTCTTTGGGGCTGTATTTCTGAAGTATCTGTGCCATAGAAAGTGTGTGTTTGCCGGGCGGTGGTGGCGCACGCCTTTAATCCCAGCACTTGGGAGGCAGAGGCAGGAGGATTTCTGAGTTCTAGAGTTCGAGGCTAGCCTGGTCTACAGAGTGAGTTCCAGGACAGCCAGGGCTACACAGAG